TGTGTGTGTGTGGTGTTTATGTAAGGTTGATACGGGGTGTATTCTATTATCGTCCATCTTTTAAAAAAATTCTTATTTTTAGACCAAGGCACTCACTGAATTCGCAGCTCACTGACTCAGCTACACTGGATGGCCAGTAAGCTACATGGATCGTCTCAGCTCTGCTCCTGTCGCCTTAGGTTTGCAAATGTTCACCTTGCACATTTTATGTGTGTTCTGGGACTGCAAATTCAGATCCCTTATGTGGGCATTTTACTGACTGGATCATCTTCCGTGTTCTAATACTAGCTAACTTTTCTTAACAGGAAAATCTTTACTTCTATCCACATTCTGGAATAATTAATAATAATTGGTTTCATTCTTGATTAATGGCTGAAGAATGTACCATTACATACATCACATTTTCTGTCCTGAACATCCGTCAGTGGCCTCCTATGCTGACCTTATGACGGGTCTATTGAGAACTGTGCTGTGATGAAGGTCATACAGGTATCTCTGTTTTATGCTGCCTTAAATACCATCAGATTGCAACTCATGTGTTAGTTACATGACATTTATACCTCTGGGTTTTTGAGGAATATCTATACTGATTTTTCATAATGGCTACACTAGTTTACATACCCACCAATTGTATTTAAAGGTTCCATTATTGAGTCTTCACCAATGTAGCATCACATTCCTTTCAAACAGCTTTAGTAACACAGAGTTTCCCATAGCATGTCATCCATCCTTTTAAAGCACATAACGCCAATAAGAGCTTAAGTTTCTTTCTGTCACCCTCATGAAAACCATTGCACCCTGCTATGCTCAGTAGTCCTACTGTGCTATGCAACTGCTAACCTATTTTCTACCCCAATGGGATTTTGCCTACTCTCAATATTTTCTAACCAGAAATATGCAGCCTTTTGTAGCTGACTTCTTGTGGGTTGTAGCCTAATGTTTCCAAGACTCTTTCACATTGTAGCGATATCAGTGTTGTATCTCTGTATTGTTACTTTTTATTTATCTTGTATTCATTTAAAGTTGATGGACCCTTGAATTCTTCCATGTTTTAGTGATTTGTGCATGTGAATTTTTAATGGATCATTTTAATGTTGTTACACAACACTTGAAGAGACTGGGATTAACAGTTTTCCTATCAACTGTGTGGCAATTTGTGTTCCAAGCAGTGCCATTTAAAACCTGAGATACTGGTGTGTAAAAATAATCTGAATTACTTTGAACATACTGTTTCAGGGGCCACCCAGTGTTCCTTATTAATTTCTAATTCATTTTGCCAATTCTTCTGGAGTCCATGAAGTCAAAACAATTTTCATAATAACAATCTGACAACTCTCTGCTCCTTACCACTAGGTTTATACTTGGGTGAATGGTACAAATCTCTGATAGATAAAAGATCAGGAGACTAATATAAATCAAGAAAATAACAGCCAAGTAAAAACTGATTGCTATTTTTATGTTCTTTTTTGCCACATGTAGAGAAAACTAAGAACAGCCTTTTAAAAAATTGTCCTTGGTATATCAGTGGAAAATTAATATTTTGAAATTTTGTCTGGGATTATATACTCTCAAGATCAACACCTGTGAGACAGACTAAAAGCAGGACAGGGCATAATGGGCATTAAATGATGGTATTAAAAAAATAGGTCTTCGTTCTTTAAGAAAATCAACAAAATAGACAAACCTTTCCCCAAACTAACTAACAGGCACACACACACACACACACACACACATACACACACACACAGAGAGAGAGAGAGAGAGAGAGAGAGAGAGAGAGAGAGAGAGAGAGA